TGTTAAAAAGATAAAGAGGCTGAGAGAGAGAATGAGAGAGCTGAACAAATCAGAGTTCTGATCTGGAAATAAAGGTTAAGAGCTTTTACAGAGTCTACTGGTTATATTTTCTTCACAACAAACCCCTTTTTCTTTTATTAGTTCTGTTCTTAGTACACGACACCTATAATGTCTGACACACGCTGTCCTGATCATCTGGAGCTGCTGTTTTTATTTCATTCCTAAAACTGAAAAAGTTCTGGATTAAACTCTGTGGAAGAGCAAACTCACAGCTCAGTGTCAGAACTAGTAACAGACAGACTCACACTGGCTCTAAGGTAAGATCAGCTCTATCTGGGTTACTGTACTTGATAATCATTTAAATATGACGTCTAACAATAAAGAACATTACAGAAAAATGTTTAGATCAGTTAGCTAAGCTAGTTAGCTTTTCTTAATTTAGCTGCTGACAGGTCAGTCAGATTAAACAGGACTGTACAGCCTCACTGTGATTAAAACTTTCTGTATAAAGATAAATATTAATGCACATTAATGACACAAACCATTCTTTGTACTGTTTCTTTAAAATGTGCTGAAAGAGCTCGTGTGAAAGACGGCGAGTTCTCCTCAGCATCTAACATTTAACATCAATTTTATGTAGATTCGTTTTGTTCTTTTGTTTCTTGTTTTTCATCATCATCATCATTATTATTACAAGAGTTGATGAGAAGATTGACAGCTGTGAGTTGAGTTGATTGACAGCATGGAAGAACGGGAACTTTATGTTACTCTATAGCTTTAAGGCCTCACAGCACAGTGAGCTTCTCCATCATTTCACAGATTTAACAGCTTTTTAGTTTCTCAGTTCTGAAGTGAAGTTCATGTCTTGTTCTGCAGTAAAACCGTTCTAACAGACCCTCAGTGGAAGTTCTCCGTAGTTTTTACTAAGTGGCTCATTTTGATACTTAGCTAAGCTGCCTGACTTCGTCAGACCATTTTATTTCTAATAAACTCTTTATTCAGTTAGTAAAGCGTTTTATTATGTACATGATGCACATTTAAACAGATAAACAGTTGGTTCTGTGGAAAATAAAAAGCATGTCGGTTTTTCTACATGCAGGTTTAAATAAACTTATAGAGTGTTTTTTAATGTTATCTCTAATCACCTAAGTGAAAAACAGCTTTCTATCAGGACGGAAATAACATGCTGTATCAAAGTGTCTGTTGACTGCTGCTCCACAGATGTAGAACAGAACGTCCATCTCTCTCAGCTTTTCTCCAGGATCCAGAGCTCCTACATGTCCAGCTTTGAAAGTCCAGTCCACTGAGCTCATGGTGAGTGTTGTGTTGTTTATGTTGGGGGTTTATGGTTTTGGATCTGGCTGTAGGTCTGAGATGATCATCAGCTGCTTAAGCTGTCAGAGGTCTGTGGAGAATCTAGTGACTGTACATATGTGTGTGTGTGTGTGTATATATATATATATATATACAGGGTGATTCAAAAAGATTAATCTGATTTCAAAATGATTTATTTCATTTGTAAATCATTACAGAACAGTGCAGTAATGCAGTAAGTTTAAAGAGCATAAAGTGCTCAATATGAACCTCCTCCAGCTGTACAGACAACATCAACAACATAGTCAAATTCATCCCATACTTGATTGAGCATGTTGGGTGTCACTGAACTCATGGCACTGTTATTGAAGTGGACAACGCAAAACGCTTTCTGCTCGGGTCTCCATCTCCTCGCAGACTGAAGGGAGCCATCTTCCAGTGACAGTCAGAAACTCCATGACCCCCTCTTTCAATTGATATATGATTGGTTCCTAGGCGCCTCACAGTTGGGGCTTTGAAATTTGAAAACATGGGGCTTTGAAATCGGATGAATCTTTTTGAATCACCCTGTATATAAGATTAATTATATTTATTTGAGAGTGTGCACTTTAGGTAAAGAGGGAGGTAAAATATAGTAAAGTAAATCAAATGTTACACTTTATTTCACAAAAGTGAGAGAAGTTAAAATTTCCATTAAAAATGCAATAATTCAAGAATTAATTAGTGCATCGTGATAGATGTTGTAACCATATGACAGTTTAACATAGATTGCCGTTATTAACTAGCTGGCTAAATCATTCTTCATGGCTAAAAGGTCTTAAGTGTCATGATTGTGTGATATGTTTGTAGCAGCTTTTTAATCAGAGTATAAATCCAGCTTGCTTGAAAAGACATTTGGAAACTAAACATGCAAATCTGGCCACAAAACCATTTTATTTAAAAATTGCTTCATTTAACATCATTTTTAAAATCTCAAACATTACTTCAGGCAAACACACAGTATTTTTTTTCAGATTTGCCACTATTTTACCACTATCAGCAGTACAAGTAAGACTCAAACTCTGTGTTTTGACCTGTGGTTGAGAGTATAGGGAGGGGGTAAATGTCATGATTCTAAATTCATACTGTACTGACTGATGGAGTCCTTTATCCTTAAATCTGGCCTGCTCATCTTTTTTTTTCATTTTTTTTCTGTAGATTAATATTTGATGGGTAGATTTGTTTAGACACTGGCTGGTTACCCAACATAAGCAATATAAAATTTAACTGAGCATTATATTCAAAATGAATGATACAAACGAAAATACAACTCAGCACAGACGCTGCACACTGAGCAACTATGGCTGTAATTTAGTAACTAACTTAGCTAATATTCTAATTTAGACTGTTAAACCTGCCTTTGTGGATTCATTCATGATACAGCAGTAGATACAGCATGTCAGAATTAAGAAATGAATGAAATTATAAAACACGCTGAGAACAGATTTGACCTCTCAAACACTTCACTTGTGTTCAGCACGACCGATAATGCTATCAAAATAAGAGTCCCATATAATTCTACTCTTACATGGAAGTTAATTGAAACACTGTGTAGTTATAATATGACTAATAATAATAATAAGAAGAAGAATATGTCAGAAGAATTGCTGATAACTTGCTAGTGTAGTTCAAATTCATAGTAGGAAAAAAAAATCCTCATATTTTAGTTTTTAATGTTAAAATTCACGCTTGAAAAAAATATGCAGCACTTTTTTCCCTAAATTTTTTTCAGTTGACCCCCCTTTGAGAAGACCACCCCACCAGTTGCCCCCAGGCAACTTGAATTTGAGACCTATGGTGTATAGAGTGTATAACTCATGCATATATTAAGTTGTCCAGGTTATACAAACAGATGAAGGAGTGAGTTGTGGTGAAGACGGCTATAGTCTTAACAACAGCTCTAATTTTACTAGCATTGCAGCACGTAGCTACTGACAGACAGCAGACAGTGACCCATATTTTCCCACAGTGGAATATGAAGTATTTGCTAAAGACACGACTTGTAATCAAGATATTATTCATTTTTAATCCCACAGAAACACTGGAACAGCTACAGTGTGTCTGCAGTGAGAACAGTGAAGATCCTGCTGAAGAAGAATCCAAAAGCACTGATATTATACAGAGACTCTACCCTGACTCAGCTTCACACTCTGAGGGAGAAAACTGTAGGATGATGTTCATGACTAAAGGCTCTGTGAAACCATGATGAGTAAAGATTATCTTCAGTTTCCAGATCAGATTCTTAAGAGTTTTTAAAGAACTTTTCAACATACAATACATACAATCATATACAATAAAATGCATCAAAACCATCATATCACACGATATAAACGTTCAACAATTACGTTTTCACAAAATTAAGTTACATCATACAAGTATTTTGTCACTTCCCAATATCAAATGTCATTTCAGTAAATTACTTCAAAAAGTAACTACACCCCCTTAGTTCAGCAAACTCCACCCCAGTTCAAAAACCCCAGTTCAAAAGGGGCACTTTGGGAGGGGTGCTGCAGTGATTAGGTTTGGAGGTGGGGCTGGGAGAGAAGCTGGGTGGGGTGGCCTGCTGTGTGTTTATAGCTAACGTTAGCTACTAGAAAATATAGAAAAAATACACAGAGTAGACAGAGTCTAACAGCACTTCTGCAACTGAGAGATCTTATGAAGTCGAAGATTGTTCTCCACCACCACCCCCATCTTCAGTGGGGCAGGGAGTCTTGAGCCTTACCAATTTGAGCATTGGCTCAAGCCACTGAACAGTTAATGTTGGTGCCAGAATGATCAACGAGTGGGAGAGGAGTCGGAATGGTAGGAAATTCCCTAAAATAGTGATAGCCTTCTATCTATTTTATATATATATATTTTTTGAACCAAGGTCTTTTTATTTTTTTTAGACAACAAAAAAATAAAAATATAAAAAAAGAAAATGAGAGAACATACAAAAACCCTCCCAACAACGCTGCACCACTGCACCATAAAGGGTCATTCAACCAGTATACACTCTCTATATATACACATATAAACATACATACACATACACACATATAAAAACAAGGAATTATGTAATACAGTGAAAAATGTGACACTGATTAAAAAGGAAATAAACAAATAAATAAATAATTTTTTTCAAAGGGAAATTTAAAAAATGTCAAATGTCGATCGAGTCCATGTTTTCTACAACTACTAACTAATGATCACAACCAGTCACAGAGTAACGAATTTTTTCTAGACTCACGTAATGCATTAAATCCCTAACCCAGTATTTAAAGGTGGGTGGGAACTCAAACTTCCATTTCAGTAGAAAACATTAGTTTAGATAAAATAAAGGTTTAAATAAAACCCTAGAAGTCCATTGCCAGTCAGTCTGACCAAACTCATACCTGACTGACCAGAGCTCAAGGCCTTTAACAGGTATAATAGATGATGCAGGACAGAGGGAGAGGCCAAGCATGACCCAGAGCATCTTTAACTCTTCTTTTAAACTAAAGATGTTAGAGAGACGATAAATCAAATAACAGTGATGCGACAGCCGTCTGTGGCAAGACAGCATGTTTAGTCTTGCTCTCTCTGGGTGGGCAGGGTGGACCTTCTTCTTGTGGTCTTGAATAAAGAGACAAAAGGAAGAGCTAAAAGGGTGGGGGTGTGACGACTGAGTGCAGAATGCACAAACGTGCCTTCCGGTTCTTTGTTTGTTCGATCATAATTTACAAGTGTAGAGCGAGAAAGAGTGAGCAGAGTAGTGATCAACTTCTTTAAGATGAAAGAGGCTCTGATTGGTCATTTATTTTAGTCAGAATTCATTCTTTGTTACTTCATCAGTCAAATTTTGATTTTATTTTCTAGACCTTTAAGAATCAGCGGTGTTTGAAGGGTGAAGCTGTCATGATTTCCAGGACATCAGGAAATATCACAGCAGCAGTGATCGTCATATTACTGACAGGTAAATTTTTACATATTTTATGTTTAGATTGTATTTGCCAGGTTTATTAGGTGAGTTTGAGCTGGACGCTGATACTTCAGGACTAGAACTGAACACATCTGGAATACACTATGTGTAAACAAGCTTCAGAAGAAAAAAAACATTTAACAGCAACAGTAACAAGTGATTAATAACTGCACACTTTTATCACCTGTTAAAGTTTTTTTATATTTGAATTAGAGATTTTCTGTATCAGCGTTCATACTAAACTGTACAAATCTGATCTACTCTAAACCTTCTTTATTTAAAGCTTTGTGTATTTAAAGTTGAGATGTTATCAGTGTCTAAGCTGTGCAAAGTTTCATATCAACCCGTTAAACAACTGTCTTAAACTGAGGTCACTTCCTCTGTGGTTTTTAACACCTCCAGCCAACTTCAAACATCTTTATGTTGCTCATAGCAACAGCTGCAAAAGTTACCATTGTGGTCACTCTGTCAGTGAAACCACCAGTTTCCCCCTCACATCTTAACTTGTGCTCCTGTGTGTGTGTGTGTGTATGTGTGTGTGTTGTGTGTGTGTGTGTTTCAGGAGTTCAGGCTCAGCACAGTGTAACTCTCTCCTCTCAGAGTCTCTGTGCTGTTACTGGATCTACAGTAAAAATCTCCTGTAAATATACAGCAGCTGATTCCTCCAGAGTCAGAGAGAGAGAGTGGTATCAGCTCCAGAGCTCTGATGGAGAAGAACGAGTCCTGAGTCAAGATCCTCAATACTCAGCACGAGTTTCTGTAAGAACAGAGCAGAATGACTGTGATCTGACAGTGAGGGATGTGAGACTGAGAGACTCTGGAGTTTATAACTTCAGATTTAGAACATCAAGCAGTGACTGGATATCAGCTTCATCTGGAGTTAATCTGACTGTTACAGGTAAATAAACACACACTGATGTGGAGTTTCTGGCTTTTCAACAAACATAAAATGTGATTTACAGAATTCTGCTATATGATGTGATGTGTGTGTAGAGTTGCAGGTGAAGGTGGATCGTAAGACTGCAGGACAGAGAAAGGTGAAACTGACCTGTAGCTCCACCTGCAGTCTCGATGAAAACCTTACTTACGACTGGTACAGAAATGGAGAATTCAAGCCAGATACAGGTGGTCCCTCCATTGTGCTGGACTCCACCAGGTCATCTGATGAGGGCAGCTACTTCTGTGGGTTGTTTGACAGCAGCGGTAAATTTCACCGCTCTCCTCCAGTGTGTAAGTGTCAGTCACTGAACCTTAGATCATTCAGGCTCAATATGCTGGTGTTTCTTTAGCAACTGTGTCTGCAAATGATCACTCACACCATCAAGTCCTGCTGTATTATAGTTAATAATGTAACAAATACAAAGTGAAAACTGCTACAAATGTGGCTGCATGCTATGATGTTTAACTCTTAGAAGCCTTTGATAATACGGTGTAATTGCTTTGGTATTTTGGTCAATTACAATTATAAAGTATTTAGATGTGACAGTAACACATGCTATATGTTGCTATTTTCAGGAGACCCTGAGCTGCTCAGACATTATTTGACATGTAAATGCTAAGAGAATTTAGATATCTTTATGAATCTGGCTAATTTTTGATCAGAACTTTTACTCAACTTTTACTTTGATCCAAAAGTTTACTCAGCACTTCCTAAATTTTGTAAATTTCACATCTTAAAAAACGAGGTATCAATGCAGTTACCTTTTCAGAAATTGTTTGTCTAGAATGTTTTTGAGCTGGAAATTTGAATGGCGTTTCATTTCTATTGGTTATTACTGAGTAAAGCTAAATAATAGCATATGGTGGAAATGTTTTTATTGATTTTCTGTCTTCTTAGATTCTTGCTGAGTGCTAAAACTCTGACACAAAGCAAGGCAGGCTTTATTTTTAATTCAGATTGAGTTGCATGTTGCTGATGTGTGCATCATGTTGCTATTTTAACCCTTTGTTATAATATGAAGGCTAAAACAAGCTGATTGGTTGAGAGGCTTTCTAACCGTGCTGTTATTTCACCACAACAACCCCTTTTTTTCCAAAACACTCTATCACTCCGCTGAGACGCCAACGAGTTTGACAGCTGTCGGAGACACTCAAGCTATTTGACCGTTTTTACTTCTTACTTTGTGCACAAACAGAAAATGGATACTTTTAAGATCACATTTGAGCGACAGTCGATTTGGTCAGACTCTGAAGATGCGACTTCACTAAATTCCCAAACTGTCATCACCACTGAGCAACCTTTTCAGTCGGCAGCTGTGACAGAAGAACACCTAAACAACCTGGAATCAGCCAGAAATGAACTGAATACCATTCGCCAAACAAAATGGGCTGTAAGATGCTTTACAGCCTGGCTGGAACAAAACAACATTAATATTGATCTAGCAAATATTGGCAAAACTGAGTGTGAAACGAGTTTAACATGTTGGTCTGTGTAAGGAGCTGGAGAGCAAACTGCTGGCTGTGCAGCGAGTGAGCGGAGCTCGTTACTATGCAACAAGCTGCTTGTTAAGGAACTATAATTTGGCAGAAGGAACTGCGAACATTAAAACATATTAAATTTCACGTTCACGGCCCAGTTTATTAATTCATTACTTTATTTATTTAACTGTTATATAAAAGCAATAGAACACTCAAGGTCGTGTGTTATTGCAGATAAAATCACAGCTGTGATGTTATTTTGCGATAACACACTCCCTCTCATGTTCTATTGCTTAAATATATGATGTTCAAGATGTCAACATATACACTATATTGCCAAAAGTATTCGCTCGTCTGCCTACACACGCATATGAACTTGAGTGACATCCCATTCTTAATCCATAGGGTTTAATATGATGTCGGCCCACCCTTTGCTGCTATAACAGCTTCAACTCTTCTGGGAAGGCTTTCCACAAGGTTTAGTAGTGTATTTATGGGAATTTTTGGCCATTCTTCCAGAAGCGCTTTTGTGAGGTCAGACACTGATGTTGGACGAGTAGGCCTAGCTCGCAGTCTCCGCTCTAATTCATCCCAAAGGTGTTCTGTCGGGTTGAGGTCAGGACAGTCAAGTTCTTCCACACCAAACTCGCTCATCCATGTCTTTATGGACCTTGCTATGTGCACTGGTGCGCAGTTATGTTGGAACAGGAAGGGGCCATCCCAAACTGTTCCCACAAAGTTGAGAGCATGAAATTGTCCAAAATCTCTTGGTCTGCTGAAGCATTAAGAGTTCCTTTCACTGGAACTAAGGGGCCAAGCCCAACTCCTGAAAAACAACCCCATACCATGGAGTCCAGTGGCGGCGCTTTACACCACTGCATTTGACGCTTTGCATTGCGCTTGGTGACGTAAGGCTTGGATGCAGCTGCTCGGCCATTCAAACCCATTCCATGAAGCTCTCTACGCGCTGTTCTTAAGCTAATCTGAAGGCCACATGAAGTCTGGAGGTCTGCAGCGATTGACTCTGCAGAAATTTGGCGACCTCTGCGCACTATGCTCCTCAGCATCCACTGACCCTGCGCTGTCATTTTTTACGTGACCTACCACTTTGTGACTGAGTTGCTGTCGTTCCCAATCACTTCCACTTTGTTATAATAACTGACAGTTGACTGTGGAATATTTAGTAGCGAAGAAATTTTACGACTGGACTTGTTGCACAGGTGGCATCCTATCACGGAACCATGCTGGAATTCACTGAGCTCCTGAGAGCGACACATTCTTTCACTAATGTTTGTAGAAGCAGTCTGCATGCCTGGGTGCTTGGTTTTATACACCTGTGGCCAAGAAAGTGATTGGAACACTTGAATTCAATGATTTGGATGGATGAGTGAATACTTTTGGCAATATAGTGTATGTGCAGGTATAGATTTGCTAGAAAGAAGTTACAGTAAGATCAGGGTGAGTCTGTTTTAGTTGAGGTGTGGATGTGGTGTGGATTGTCCATGGAGGTCATCATGATGATTCAAACAGAAATGAGTGGGTTGTGGGTGATTTTGGAGTGCAGTACAGACAGAGCTTCCAGAACGACTGTAGTAGGAGAATCACTCACCTGAGAGAGAGAGACACTCAAAGGATTCAGAGTATTGTACAAATATTATAAAACTATTTAACTTCATTCAGTTTCTAGACATTTTTTACTTAAGTAAATTTGTTAAGGGTAATTGTCTTGCTACACTGACAGATAATTTTGCTTTTAAAAGAAATGTGTTTGAAATAAGCAAAAGTATCTGCCAATATAGTGAGATAATTTGGTACAGAGTAGCGTAGAAATAAAATGCTGTAAATATAGGAGTATGTGTTAAAATATGCATGTAGATGTATGAACAAACAGCAGTGTCTATTCCACGAATGGGTGTATAGATATATAGATATACAGTATAGTGTCAGTAGGGTGGTTGTTCTGGAAATAATTGCAGAATTGCATGCAAAGTTGCATATAGATGTGCTGATGCGCAGGTTTTCTGACCTTTCTGACCAAGGTTGCGCAGGGCACACAATGACCAAACATGTGTTCCAAGGTCGTAAGGATACTGATATGATACCACTGTATACACCACTGAAGAGAGTTCAATGTGTGTATTTTTAGATGCTCCGAAGAACACCAGAGCGTTGATAGTTTCCTCTGGAGAGAGAGTGGAGGGAGATTCAGTGACTCTGAGCTGCAGCAGTGATGCAAACCCTCCTGTTCTCATCTACTCCTGGTTTAAGCAGAGATCAGCTGCAGACGCACCACTGACAACAGGCCAGAATTACACCATCACCAACATCAGCTCCCAGCACAGTGGACTCTACTACTGCACCGCTCACAACCAGCTAGGACAGCACAGCTCAACACCCACCCATCTGGATGTCTTATGTAAGTACATCATAGTTTCAGTTTTACATATTATTGTTCTACATAATGTAAACAGTAATATTGTAGGACATACAGAAAAATTATAGCATTCTTCAGTGGGTTCCACTGTCATTACAAGTTCTGTATGGTTCTGTGTGAGTGTAAGAAAATTCAATAACTAATTGAGTCTCTGTTTTGCTCAGACCCTCCCAGACCCCCATCTGTAAATAAGCATATATTTGGAGACTCAGTCACGCTGGTGTGTGTCAGTGACTCCAACCCTGCCAGCTCTTACACCTGGTACAAGAAGACAGGAAGTGATGTCATACTGATTGGAAATAGCACCAATATAACTTTACCAGCTGGAGAATTTGGAGTTTTTTTCTGTAAAGCAGAAAATCGATTTGGATCATCCAACTCATCAGAATGTCTGTTTACAGCAGGTGTGCTCTGCTTTGAATTAATTACCTTACTGCTGGCTCACTTACCCAGCAGTTAAAGAGAGACTGTTAAGCCTATCAGTGTTAGGACAGTTTGATGAGCAGCATCTCTTCTTGCTTCCACACTCTTTTCACTCATCTTTTTAACATGCTGATGTCTCCACACTCATACAGATAACACAGCAGTGAAATACGCAGCTTCTGCAGTCGGTGTGGTTCTGCTTCTGATACTGTTTGCTGCCTTTCTGTGGATGAGGTGAGAACCTGAAGCCACATTTTCTATTTCACACATGCTCTGAATGCTGAATGTGTACAGGATGTTCATTTGAGGACAGTTTTTACGTAGTCTTTACATGTCAATTAATGATCATTTACTGTATTTTGTGTGATCAGGAGGAAGAGAGGAGCAGAGAGAGACACAGATATTCAGGTACTGAGAGAGGATTTCACTCTTTCTCTATCTACATACTCCTATAAAGCTGCTACTGAATAGACTGAAGTTGTTCTCCTCATCTCTCTAAAAGACTCCAGATCCTGCAGACCACACATACACAGCTCTGAAGCCCACCACCATGTCCTCGATACAAGTAAGTGTACAGTCTTTGTGCCCCTGTGTGTGTGTGTTACCCTGCAGAGTGTGTTTAGTTGTCTAAGTTTTCATTTTTTGTCTTGAGCATCTTACAGACTCTCCCTGTGAAACATACACAACACTAAACCCTGCAACCATGAGCTCTGATTACGACACTCTGACAGTAAGTCTGCAGTGGGAGAGTTTCTTTCTAATGTGTGTGAATGTGTGAGTTTGTGTGTTTATTTATTCACAAGTTGGAATATATAAGAGTTTGTGTGATGTGATTTTTTCAGGTTGTTTATCCTCACAGAGAGATGAGAAGAGCTCCAAAAATGAAGAATGAAAGCTAACAGCTTTGATAAATGACCTTGTTTTCAGCACCATGATTTCAGCAGCATGAATGGTCTGTTAGAGACACACAGGAGAGGAGCTTTGTGATTAAATAGCTTTACGGAGGTCATAACAAACCACATACTGTCTTTCAAGTAATATTAGTCAACAATATTACTTTTTTTTCTGAAGTATTTTTTTTTTTCAGTGTTGTACAAATCTATGTAAAAATAAGTCAGAATTAGGTAGTTCTGCCTATCATATATAAAGAGATGCTTTAAACCATGTTTGTATGTTAGAGACATTTAAATGTCTAACATTCGGTTTATTTGTATGTTCATATGTTTTATGGTTATGTCATTGCATTAAAATATGTACTTTTTTAAGCAGGAGTCTCACACTGAGGTCCTGGAGGTTTTCCTTCTTTAACTCTGCAGATTCAACTAATGAAGTCTTTATAATCAGCTGATGAATCAGGTGTGTTAAGAGAGGCAGAGTGATAAACTGTGCAGTGCTGTGGTTCTCCAGGACTGGAGTCTCCCTGTTTTAAAGATTATCATTTTTGTATTATTTGCATTGTTTTTCTTTTATACATTCATTATACTTGTCCATATTTGTTTATATATATTTTACTTGCTTTATCTTCTCTCACCTTGTGTTTTAATTTTAATGTTTTTTTATTACTTTGAATAGTGTGGTGTGACAGCATACTGAAATAAAGCTTTGGAGCAGCTTTTAGATTCTGTTTTTAATTGTTATTTATTCATGTTTAGTCCTCTATGCAGCCTCTGCTCTTCTACAACACTGCAGTGACAGCAGGGAGGAGAACAGAGCTGAAAAATGCATTTTTAGATCTAGCTGTTGGTCTGAGAGGGATATTAGTTGCCAGTGGTATAAAACATGAACAGATGACCTGAACCTACAATAATGGATTTATTTATTTATATAAGATTCATTTCACCAATAATCAAACAGAATATAAAATACAGCAGTTTAGAATCAGTACAGATGATTTGTCTTGATTCACTCACTGGGGGGCAGCAGTGTGTGAAGAGTTCACAGCAGTGTACTGAACACTGAGAGAGATAAATAACAGCATGAGAATGAAATTATATTTGACCATCCTCTCTAACACACTGACCTGTCTCTCCTCATAGCTCCAGTGGACTTTAGCTGAGCTGCAGTTTCTCCTCCTGAGAGACAAACAAGCAGCACATTAATTAAAGAGGATAAAACTCTGAGCTGCTGTGATGAGTGTTAGAGCCAGACAGACTGACACTCCCACTGTGAGCAGCTTTAACACTGAGCTCTGCTCTGAACCTTCAGCTCCTTCAATGATAAACTGCATTATAAATTACAGAAAAATGATTCATTTTTACTCTGTGCTCAACATGAACACATTCAGTAATTTATTCCACAGCAGCATCACTGTGAGCTCTTACAGAGAATCAAAAAAGACAGACGTGTTTCTAAACACATTTCTACAACACACTGACAACAGTGTAGTAATATTACATTAATATTAAGTAATCATTACTGAGTTTAGTGTCTAACAGGACTCACATTTCACACACTGAGTGTCTGAGCAGCAGAGTTGAGCTCCTCATGTCTCTCACAGTTCTGACAACAGACTGATGTTCTGTAATAACAGCATTTGCTCACTGCTGCCATCCAGTGACTCAGTGATGTTATTACACCTACAACGACCATCTCAGACCTACAGAAAATCTAGTATATAAAGGTTATAAAGGTTCTCTATAAACTTTGGATAACAGTTCCGTCACGCTCAGTTTTGTTTTTTACTTTCTGTTTTTCAGACTTACTGTTGTTCTGTATAAAAAAACTGCTGATTTGCATCTCCAGGGGAGCCCATTCATTAATGCTCTGGAGCGCCAGCTAGCGTTCAACAAACCCGGAAAACATTACTGAGCTGCAGTTCTCCTCACAACACATTCTCTACACATAGTGTTTTTAGTTAGTGCTTCTGTCTTGTGGAGACATCAAACAAGAGCCTGTCGAGGCAAACCTGCTCTCTCTCTCTCTCTCTCTCTCTCTCTCACTGCCTTTGTGTGTGTATATATATGTTAGTAACTGAGAGGCTGTTTAGCTGTTTAACTGTATTTGCAGAATTGTGCTTTATAGATATCAGTTAATTGACACAGTTTGAACATTTAGTAATGTAAATTAACGTACAATGTGCTAATGGGCAGTAGAGCTGTCACTAAAAAGAGGAAGAGGGGCAAGAGAGGTGGGCTACATGCTAGGCTAAAGGCTAGGGCTACGCGACCACCGCTACCTAGCCTGTTGCTAGCTAATGTTCGCTCCCTCGAAAACAAGCTGGATGAGCTGAGAACCAGAATAACTCAGCATGAGATCAGAGAGTGCTGTGCTCTTATTCTCACGGAAACCTGGCTCTCGGACAGCACGCCAGAATCAGCGATCCAGTTAGAAACGCACTCCGTCCACCGCGGGGACTGCACGGCAGCGTCTGGGAAGAACAAAGACGGCAGTGTCTGCATCTACGTGAACAACAGGTGGTGGTTAGACTGTTGAAAAACACTGTTCAGTTGACTTAGAACTGCTGATGGTGAAGTGCAGACCCCTCTATCTGCTGAGAGAGTTCAGCGCTGTGGTTATTCTGGTTGTTTACATCCTGCCACGCGCAAACTCGGCCACGGCGCTGGGGCTGCTGCATGATGCCACCTGGACACCGTGTTCATTGTTGCCGGCGACTTCAACCACTGCAACCCGAGGACTGTCCTCCCCAAGTATCATGAGCACGTGAGCTTTCCGACGAGGGAGAGCAACACACTCGACCAAGTCTACAGCAACGTGAGGGGGGCCTACAGAGCTGTGCCTCGGCCGGACTTCGGACAGTATTTTTTTTCTATGACTATATTGGTGAATGGAGGAACAGCAAAGTAAGAATTTCATTGTACAGTGTAACTGCCTGTTTCTGCTGTGCATATGACAATAAAACTCTTGAATCAATTGAATCTTGAAAATTACATTATTAATTATGTATTATGTGTATCTTATTATTTTGACTCAATAAAATAATCTGTGTTTTTTAAAGGCCAAACCAAAAAATAGGCTTCATTAAACAGTAATAAACTCTGCAGAGCCTTTCAGGCCTCTCTAAACCGCTTTACTGGAAACAGATGAACTATAATATAATACCTAATATAATCATATAATCAGGAAATGGATGTAGTTTAATGTAAACCTTCTTCCTGGCTCAGTTCACAGAAAGATGTGTGAATGTTCACTAGCAGAGCAGACTGTGATCATCTCAGCTCTCAGAACTTTTTTTTATCATTAAATATAAAGTTTGTCTTCAGTTTTGGTGATACTTATTATCAATAATGTAGCCGAGTCAGTTTGCAAATATACTCAGGTTGTAATGCAGATGTACAAAAAAGTAACTCAATTACTCGAGTAGTTTTACAGTAAACTACATATTTACTCTTACTTTAGTCATTTTTCTTTATTAATACTTTGACTTGTACTGAAGTAAATTAATACTGCAGTAACAGCACTTTCACATCTCCCACTCCTGCTTATTTCCCCCCACTGTAGATTTCATTTAATAAGACCACCACAGAGCTTTGTTGATAGTCTGTGTTGGTGGGCAGTTTGTATCTGCATTACTCTGTGTTAGTTTGTCTCTGTGAGGACTAAGATGTGGGTGGAGTGAAAGAGCCTTGGAGAGAGTCTGTAATAAAACTGACAGGAAGTTCATGTAAACACAGACAAGATTTCTGTCCCAACCTCAGCTTTTCCAAACAGGCTTTCTCAGATATGTGACTCACATCAACACTTATTTTTCTTTTAATTGACTTTTGCACCTTTAATAATTGTCCCTTTTTTCTGTTTAGAATTTTTGTCTACCTTTATACTTTGTTATTTTTTTACTTTTTATCAAAAAGATGTGTTTAATGAACAATTTTAGCAGCACAGAATATAAAGGATCAGTCATAGTTAATGCATGTTATATGCAGATCTACTCAGTCGGCAGCTGCAGAAGCGAGAGAAGAGGAAGAGGAGCTTTTCTGATGAAGGTCACTCCACCTCTGATAAAGAGGCCACAGTGAACCTCCAGGTACTCTGCCTCAAACTGACTCTACTATGACACCACAGTTTCATCTGATGAGGATCTTTTCTGCTCTGAAGAGATTCTGGACCTGCTGGAGACGATGACTGACATCTGAGAGGTACAACTATTCTTGAGCAAACCTCTTTGAGTTGTGCTGACTTTTATTTCTTTGTTTAACAAACAAAGAAAATGTAGTTTATGTAACGGTTACCATCTTGCTCACTAAACAAAGCTTCATTAAAATTCATATTTTAAACTTTGGTTGTACAAGATGGGGATCCACCATGGACGCAGATATATTAGTCATGAAAACTTGAGAGGAGTGAAAAGACAAGTTGAGAAAACACAATATGCTGTAGGCGAGTTCAGAAGCATCCTCACCAGTCAGAATTATAGAGATTTTAAAATGAAAATGAACAATTCTGGTGCACATTAGATTAAACTACTGGAAAGGAAAATAAGTTTCACGCTGTTAAAAATGACTCATCAGGTCAACCTCAAAAAAATACTTTATATGGTAACAAGTAAATTAACTACTTTTATTCAAGCTAAATAAATATTTTGAATAAAGAATTCCTTCAATCAATGTAACTTATTGAGCTGAATAAAACTAAATCAATTGCTTGCTACCATGTGAAATAATTCTTTTAGGTTGAACTGACAAACCATTTTTTACAGTGTATGAGTGATGCAATGTTTATTTTAAATGGTAAGAAACAGAAATA